TAGATTCAGACTTTAGGATCTTAAATATCTATATAAATTAGGCTGATTTTTATGAAAATTGGTAAATAAGTAGATTTATAGAGTAGTACATTTTTAATTAGTGGTTCAAATTTGGATCTGTCATAGAAAAAATGTGAGAAATTTACTAATTGTAAATTTTGATTTAAATCACTCTATTTCACAAAATAATCTGTTGTCAAGTTATTTTTAAAAAAATATTAGAGATTTCAGGGTTTCAAATGAACATTTTTTATTTTGTCCAAACTAATAGTCATGGAAATAAAAGTTAATTTTCGTGTTCCGTTACATGTGTGAGCCACTGTAAATCGCATAGTCGTTAAATCGAGTCCTGACTGTATGATCCCATTGGCAACTGGTATCGATTTTGATTTTGCTCATAACAATACTTCTTTGTATCCATCTCCTTTCTTAATGAATCCTGTTATATGTCAGGCAATTTCAAGATAAAGCATTAAATTATTATTTTCATTCAATATAGTATTAATAACTCGATATCAAGTCAATATATAACTTATATTGTCTTCTTCATAAAGTTCCTTAGCTCTTCAAATGAAAATGTAAATTACGTGTAATGAATTCCAAATATAAAGCTGTTTATTTATAATGCCGCTTAAAGGCAATTGCGTAATGAATGATTCATTCTCAGCGGCAACTTGTATGAACGAACTGTATAAAAGCAAACTATGTATGCCTCACACAAGACAAGGAAGTTTGTCCTTCAACTCACACTCTGTTAAATATTATTGATCTTGATAAACTTAGTAATTTGAATTCAATCCTTTTGATTGGATTTTTTCAAATAATTAATCATTAGGTCGGTGTTATTTACTTCACAACTTCACAACTCCCCAACGAGTAAAAGTCATCTAGTTTAATATCACTGATTCTTTCTTACTGGATATAATAGACAAGCCGGGTTTATTAGCTGCGGCTCAACCATGGCTTGAGCTTTGGCTCTGTATTAAATACAAGTCAGGTTTGCCAGGACTTGACTTTGAGGTCAAGCTAGTGGTTTTTTGGGCCGAGCCGATAAATTGTTATCCAATTTAATTTTGAATCGTAAATAAGGATCCCGAAAGTCATAGACAATTAATGTGATCTATTTTTAAACATATCGATATGCAAAAACTTTGCGTTGGCTTGATAATTCTTTTTCATGAAACTTCATTACACAAATTAAAAATAATATTTATTCCTGTGATAAATATACATGTATATATTAGTTACAAATTTATTCTACAATGCCAAGAAATAAATTAATTAAGATTTTCTGACAAGACATGTAAGCACGAATGCTGTATTGAAATAATTAAAGTGATGGATGAAATTGAGATTTGGCACCACTGAATTACTGCAGTTTATGTCTTCGGCAACTGGGCATTTCACAATTGCATTATTTTTTCTATATAACAAATCATTTTATTAGCTTTTCGCAAATTGTTTTCAAAATGAAGAAAAATATATTTAAATCATAAATTATACTTACGGTTGAACCCAATACTCTGGTGAATGATGAACATATCCAACCGCTCTCGGCGGTTAATGAGGAGCAATATCGTTCTTGTTGACAACACGGAAAATATTAATTCCTTGCTTCTCGACATGTTTCGTAAAGACGTCGTTACCTATACGCAATTGACCATAAGCGTAAACGAATAGGTTGTCGCGAGAAAGCCCAGGAATACTGACAAGTTCCAATGACTGAAAACCAGCCACCGCTAGAAATACAAGAAATAAAGTATTATTATTGATCTTCGAAGTTAAAAAATTATACTTACTTCCATCAAGACTGTGACCAGTCAAAACCACTTTATACCCGGGAGTTTTTGGGACAATTTCTTTCACCAAATTCGTAATGTTTTTAGAAGTGTTTAGGAATCTAAAAAAAAAACAAGAATTTTTAATACAAGAATTTTAAAGATAAAATGTGGTTAAAATTATATATCTACCCAGCATGGACTTTAGCGCCTTTAATTCCAGGATAATCGGTGAAAAGAAACCGCACGTCTCCTAAGACTCATAAACATCGGCAGTACCTAAAGGATTATGGCGAAAATTGGAATCAGCTATTTATAAAAGAAGGTCTTAATCCAGTAAAAAAAATGCTAAAACGTGTTTACGCAGTTACTCCTCGATAAGTAAAACCACAATTCCATCCTTCAACATTACAATATGCGGCGCTATTAATAATTAATAATTAATAATTAATAATTAATAATTAACGTTATATTTGTCGAGTTTCTTGATTTTCTCACGCGCACAATGAATGATACTATCTAGCATATTTTACCCAAATTTTGAATTGGATTTTCTCTTCAGTCGACACTAGGATTGTTGGTGCCGACGACGAGGATTCTGGTGATGTATCACTATTTTGTACGGGAGCCGCATAAGTAAGCAATTCGTCGCATGCCAACAGCGCGACTAAACCAACAGTGAAAATATTACGGATCGAAAATTGGAAATTGCCATTTATTATTTGTTATCGGAAATTAGGTCAATTAAAGGTAGAAATAGTCGATAATATTACTGTAAAAATTTTGAAATAAAAACAAATTATTAATAATTGCTCTAATGAAAGTATAATTTACGTATTTAATAATAATCGAAAAATAAGAACTAGAGAAATAATTTTTTCTCGTCATCGTTTTATCTCTTTTTTTAATTTGAATATAGTTAACTATCATTTTTGGGACTGCAATATATAATTTTTTCCTAGATATCGATATTATTTATGAAACACGAAATCAAAAGCACATATCGACATCAAAAAAAAATCTCGTTGTCACAAACTTTTTTTAGCGATAAAGAACAGCATGATATCCAATACTGCGCTACAATAACAATTTTTTATTATAGATCTTATACATAATAATCAATCTGATCAATCAGAATTCTTTATTTTTAATATTATATTGGTGAAAAATTATAAAACAAAATAAAATCTTACAGAATTATAGTTTTATTAACAAATTAGAATTAGTTTTATTAACAAACAATTACAGTTTTATTAACAAACTATTAATCTTTTAAGAGAGATTTTTTATATAATTAAGTTATAATAAATAAATTAAAAGTGAATATCTTATACTATCCTTTACTATATAACAAAATCGAGCATTGGTCAAGTCTTATATTGTAAAAAAAAGTATTTATTTACATATATTAAAAATATTATTATCATTAAATATATAAATACAAAAAATATTCTATTATAACTTAAAGAAATTTAAAATCTTAATATAAACTGCTAAGATTTTTGTTTTTGTCAATTTATCTAAATATGGTTTAATAACTATTTATAAACTAAAAATATTGCAAGTTTTGAAAATATTAATTCAATAATTTTTAATTTTATTATAAATTTTATATTATGACCAAAATTATTTGAAAAATAATATAGTATATTAGTAATTTAATAATAAATTTTAAGTATAATTAATAACAAATTTAGATATTTTATTATAAATTTTAATATTACAATATATATAAATTAGAAATTTTATTATTTATATATATTTCTTTAAAAATTATGTTTTTATTATAAAATATAGTTATATTATAATATAAACATATTATTAGAAAATTAAAAAAGTGTATTTAAGAAAATTATATATATATTTTATATAAGTTTTATATTAAGTAATTTTAAATATATATATTTATAAAAATATTATGCTTATATAGAAAATTTTTATATAATTAATTTTAAGATATATTTATATTAAGATTTTTATATTGTTACAAGTTTGTTCACTAATCATTAAATTAGTTTACAAACTTGAATCTGAGTTGGAAGAGAATAATAGACTGGTAAAAATGCTAAAATAAAAAGAATGAATATCTAAAATCTATGTCAATTTCTATGAAAATTATGTTTACTTAAAAAAAATAATAATATAGAAGAGTTTGTGGGAAAGTAAAGATCAAAGAGGAGATAGAGTATAAAAATAATAAAGAGAATTCAAAAGGATGATTCTGTACTTGTATAAAGCTTTTCAGAACTAAGATAATATAATTAATAATAACAATAACAAAAACTCTTTCACTTTGTTCTTCTTATAAGTGAAAAATAATTAAAAATTCAAATAACAAAAAGTAAAATACTTATAATTCAATTTTAATAATTTCTAATACAGTAATTTTTAGTACAATATGATATAAAGCTCAATAATCTAATAATAGTAATTTGCTCAGCGTAATACAATATAAAATTCAAAGTTAATAATAGTAATTTGTTCAACACAATATAATATAAAACTGTTAGTGATTTAATAGGTTCAATATGATATAAGATCACTTATACATAAGATTTAAAGTGTATAAAGAAAATATGAGAGGTGAGAAATATTTGAAAGAAAATTTTTGTTAAGAAAGATTTTTATTTTCAGTTATAACATGTCAAGTTAAGATTCAGACAGTGTTATAGTTCAGAATTACTCACAATTTCTTAATTTCTTAAATTTAGTTATGTAATCTACATAGATCACAAAGATTGCAGAGATAACAGAGTTCTCAGATATATTAATATTATTTGCTATATCATATTTATTTAATATATATAATATATTTCATATTATAATAACTTAGTCATAAATTATTTTATATAAATAAAAAATCTTTTGAATAAATCAAAAGATTAATTAATCAATACAAAAATTTAGTTAGTCAATAAACTGTTTCTTATTTATTGTTTAATGAAATTATACATTAATTGATTTTATAATTATTAATCTTATTATAATACCTATCTTGAACATTTAACCAGATTACTATAGAATATCAATATTATATTACTATAGAACCATTATTATACTAAGTAAATACAAAGAAGATATTTATTAGTAGTAGTGTTATCTATTCTAAATTAAAAGAATAGAAGAAGTCATATAGTATCACAATTCTAAAGTATTAACTTACTGAGATAAATATTGGTTGAATATCTATATCACAAGATTATCTACTTGAATTTGAGATTTGTGATAATAGTATCTCTATTTATATATTTTTTAAAAATGCAATTTCAAATAATAATAATTATCTAATTAATAATAAAAGAATAGCAAATAATAAAATAAATGATAAAAAATAATAAATAATAAAAAGTGATAAAAAATAATAAAAAATGATTAAACTAAAGAAAATAATAAAAAATAATAAAAAAAATAATAAAAAAATAATAAAAAATAATAATTAATGATGAAAAGTAATAAAAAGTGATAAAAATAATAAAAAAAATAATAAAAAATAATAAAAAAGTGATGAAAAATAATGAAAAATAATAAAAAAGTAATGAAAAATAATAAAAAGTAATAAAAAAGTAATAAAAAATAATGAAATAAATATCTAATATATTATTATTTTTATTATTTCTTAAAGATTATTATTTTTTTTGAAGATTTTTAATATTTTCAATTATTTTTCAAATTTAGAATTTTCTTTGAATTTACAGAGTTATTATTACTACTATAACAATATAATGTACTTATATTAAGCATAATTATATTAAAATACAATTGTAATTAATTTTTTTATTAATTAGTTATATAAGTACCAGAAAGTCATTATAATATAAATTTAAAATATATTATATTAATAATTTATTAATAAAATAAAATCTGAAAACTTAGTAAATTAATTAAAAAAATCAAAAATAAAATTTCAAGTTCTAAAAAATTATTTTTAAATTTATATTATATTATTGTATAATGAAATTTTACATTAATTATTAATTAAAATTATACTTGATCTTATTGAATAATTTTGAGAATATATATTTATATTTTAATTAATTAAGATTTTATATTTATATCTTGTATTATATTATTTATATTATTATTTATATTATTATTTATATCATATTTATATTACTATTTATATTATTATTTATAAATATTACATAAATTATTTATTTAAATTATATTAGATCACAAAACAAGCAAATAAGTAAGTAATCAAGTGAGCAAATAAGCAATTTTCTTGTAAATATTATTAGTAATTTTAATTTAACAATTTTATATAAAAGAAGCATATATTTTAGCTTAGAAAAATCAGTCAATCAACCAGTCAGTCAAGTTCTAAATATTAATAACTCAAAAATAAACTTCTTTAATAATAATATTCTTTTGAAATTAATATATTTAGAATATTAAAATATTTCTTTTATTATTTTATTATTTAAGTTTTAAAGTTTTATATTAGTTTTGTTATAATCTCTCACATATTTGTGATATTATATTAATAATCTCTTATATATTTATAATATTATGTTAATAATCTCTTACATATTTGTAATATTATATTTATAGTTTGATCTCTCACATATTTGTAATATTATATCATTAAAATAATTTGAATTTATAATATTTTACTTATCTATAAATTATTATCGTAATTTTTATATTATATATATATTAAATTATAAGAAGATTTCTTAAATTAATTTTTAGCTGACTAATAATTTAATGATATATATTATTATCTTTAGTTATTTATCTTATCTTTTTTACCTAACTTGAAACATGTATTGAGTATGTAAAAAGATATAATATATTTGAAATTCAAGTAAAATAGTGATAATATAAGTAACTATTTGTTTATGTTCTAAGTAAAATTGTAGATCATAACAAGAGTTATAAATTAATATAAAATAGTTAATATTTAGGATGAATATTTAAGAAGTTATATAAGTTTAAAAATAATTTTAATTATTATAATTTTAATCTGCTTTAATTTTAGTATAATAAATATTTATTTTGCTATAGTAATCATAAATTATAGTTATAAGTAAAGTTATAGCCAGAAATAAAAGCTACAAATTGGTATAAGATTGTTATTAATAATAATTATTCAGAGAATTACATAGTATTTACAATCAAATTTAATAAATGTAAAAATAAAAACACTTTAATTATTACTATATAAACTTTTAATTTTTACTAAATACTATAAATTATATTTGTAAATAAAGTTGTAGTTTATATTTAGAGTTACAAATTGATATATAATATTATATATTGATCTTTAATACTATATATTGATCTTTAATCAAATTCAAATCAGATTCAAACTCATATAATAATTCAGTTAGAATTCAGTTCAAACTTTAAATCTTTCTTGAATTCAAGTCAAAGTCTGATTTGAGTTCAGTTTGAAT